ATCTTTTATTTTCTGCTGATCTTGTTGAGGGTCTGCAGCTGCTGGACAAAGTGCTGGACAGAAATTCCCAGCTCTTTCTGAGGCCATGGTTCTCAATTTCTTCAGTTTTCTGATGATGGTGTAAGCATGCACTCTCAGAGAATACATTAGCAGACAGTGATGTGGATTCCGGGGCTCAGAACAAATTATAGTTGGGAGGCGTCTCTCCAGGTGTCTTGGTTTACTTTCATTATCATAAAAAGTGAGGGTTTGGATTCTTCAAGGAAATTTGTGTTGTTGAACAAATCGGTGTTCATTGTACAAACAGAGAGGGTGGTTGGATTCATGGAAAGCATGAAGTGAGTTAGTGTTGGGCATGTGAATGCTGAAGATACAAAGATGACCAAGAAGGGTCCTCAAGGAGGTCTAAGCCTGTGTGTCCTCTAGTGTTAGGACGCTGCGTGTTCCACTGCGTGTCCACCTGAGTTGCCCCACCTGGACGCAAAACAAGAGTTCCACTTGTAGTTGGAGCCTCCAGACTTTCGTAATCTTCTGTCTAGTTACACTCACACACACACACACACACACACACACACACACACACACACACACACACACAGAGAGAGAGAGAGAACTAACTAAAATGAAATAAAAGATTGCCAATTTATTTTTTATTTTTCATTTTGAGACAGAGTCTCACTTTACTGCCCAGTCTGGAGTGTAGTGATGATGCAATCATGGATCACTGCACCCTTGAACTTCTGAGCTCAAAATATCTTCCCATCTCAGTCTCTTGATTAGCTGGGACTACGTGTGGGTGCCACCATGTCCTGCTATTTTTAAAAAAACTTTTTGTAGAGACAGGGTCTCATTATGTTGCTCAGGCTGATCTGGAACTCCTGGCCACCATCAATCCTGCCATCAGTGTGTAAAATGTGCTGGGTTTACAGACGCCAGTCACCCTATCAAGACAAAGATTGCCAATTCAATTTATGTCCCACTGAGGCAAGTGTTCATAAGGATTGATTCACGTCCAGGAGTCTTCTCCCAGGTATTAGATGGCTGAGGGTACAATCCCCTGGCCTTCCATATGAGGAGCTGCACCAAGGCTGAACCTAGCCTCCCCAACATGCCCTGTGAGTCAAGGAAGCCAACTTGACCACCACAAAACTCTAATGCTTATATAAGTGCAATGTAAGCCAATCCACTCCCTTCCCTAGACTCTTGGCAAATCTCCCACTTTTTCATCTTCCAGTTTTCTTTCCTCAGTGAGGGAGCCTGGTCCAGACCCATGAGCCCACTTTGGGACTGGAGCCCAATTCCACAGAACCTGTGGGAACCACAGAATCTGCTTTGCTCCTTAACGGTCCTGGTCCTCCTGAGAAGAACAAGGCCATTGTGTCCCAACCTCAAGTCTGCCCTCCAAATCTTGATCTCCAGCAACTGCAGGGTGTGTGTGGCCCTTGCTTCCTGGGACTTCACCCTATGATTAGGGCTGCATGGCTGTAGCACTGAAAACAGGTTGCACGATGAAACTCACTTAACCTGTCTTTTCTGGGTCTGCTTCTTCTTGTCTATACCACCCCTATTCGTAAGATCCATGTTGGATGGAGGACGAATAATGAGTGGGGACACTTTGACACAGGTGAGAGAGGTCACCAGGTGGGTGAGCGAACCCCAGCCGGAGTTCCCGCGGAGAACAGGCATGACACCACCAGGGGGCGTATGTCCACCCGTGTGCGCTGAGGCCAAGAGCAGCCCTGTAGCCTGGCCAAGCTCTCTCCTCTCCCAGGGAGTGCGTGGGGTTGTCACTGTAAGGACGTCTTGTGCAGGAATCTCTGTGGAAGGTGTAAAGAAAAAGAAAATTCTCAGAATCTCCCAATTAAGCCTGGAGGGCGAGACATGCCACACACCCTCTTGCAAGTAAATATCTGTTCCTCAAGTTGAGCCCAGCCTGTTCCCAGGAAGAGGCAAAGGTCCCCAGGCACCTACACAGGGCTGCCAACAGGTCACTCAGAAGCCAATTCTTGCTGACTTCCCATGAGCAAAGGACAGGCCAGCGGTATCTTTAGTTCTACAACCTAAGTCTAACTCCTAAAGCTCATGTCTGTTCAAGTCTACACTGATAACATTGATACAAACTTATCTTTCCAGGCACAGAACAAGTCAGGACTCTTCACCTTTCCAGAGACATCTGTGTGATGACTCTTCCTTTCAAACTGTTTTGATCATGCGCCTCTTCCTATTAAAAATGTAGATTTAAGGGCACTAACAAAAGTTGCACAGGAATGTGAGACCATTGCTCCTCTTCTAACATACCTTTTCCACTTTCAAGAAACGTATAAGCACTAAACTTCCTAAAACCTCCTCTAATAGGAGTCTCTGACTCTTATTTTTCCTGGACACACCCTTGTGTTTGAGTGGGACCCCCTTAGGGACCTGCAACACTCCCTCCCGACTTGCAAATAAAGAAACATTTTGAGTTCCTTCAAATAACATTCCAGGACCACTTTTGGAGCAAGAAGGGAATCGTTACTTAAAACTACAGTTAAGGAGATTGTGTCTCGAGATATTTGGTTCCCTGTAGATACTAGAGTTAACATCTTAATATGTGCCCTGGCTGCTTTTAAGAAACCCAGATGCCCACCGAGGGGCTCCTCTGCCACATAGATCTCAGATAAGGTGCAGGGAGGGTTGGACTCACACCACTGTTCTTGGTTCTCAGTTTCCTTCAGTAGGACCTGGAGGAGATCACGCCCATGAGACAGAGCTAACATTCTTTTTGCGCAACCCAAGTTTTTGGCAAAGCTTTGCCTCCTTAACCAATCATGTCAGAACTTCTTTGAATCCACCTAAGGCCTGTGGGCTCTACTAGGAGGAGTCCTGACTTCTTAGGTAAAGCAATGCAAATGCTCCATGGCTTGCTGCAAGGCTTTGCCTACAACCTCTCCCTTCCACCTTTAAAACTCTTACTTGTGCCTGAGCCCGCGGGTTCGTGACTCGTCTAGGCAACTTGGCGAGACCTCATCTCTACAATAAATCAAAAATTAGCTGGCGTGGTAGCGCGCACCTGTAGTTCCAGTTACTTGGAAGGCTGAGGCGGAAGGATCGCCAGAGCCCAGCAGGTAAGGCTGCGGTGGCCGGGAGTGGCCACTGCACTCCAGTCTGGGTGACTCCAACTCAAAAACAAAACAAAACAAAAAAACTCTTACTTGTGTGTCATCAGGGAGCTTCTTTTTAAAAAAATTTATTTATTTATTATGAAGATTTGGGGTACAATTCAGTGTCAGGTATACAAACATTGATCATGCAGGTACCCTTGTTGATGAGGTTTGTCCATCCCTCCCCTAGCAGTTTCCCTCAATTGCCAGTCCCACCCCCCCTTACCCTGATAGTTTTCCGCTACTGCCAATCACTTTCTTATAGCATTATAATTGTTCAAGGTCACCCTATGAGTGAGAACATATGGAACTCAGTTCTTTTTTTTGTGATAAATCACTGACTATGATCGACTCCAAATCCATCCAATTTGCTGCAAAGTTCACATATTTACCCTTCTTCATGGCTGCATAATATTCCATTGTGTATCTGAATAGACACTTCTCATCAAGGAGCTTCTGTCTTAACCCCGAGTGAACGACTCTCCTTGCTTGGTGCCCTGCAGTGCATGTCTCACTTCCCCTCACTGCTATCCCAATATCAGTGCCTGAGTTTTCTGTGCTGGGTAAGAGGACCAAGTTTGGTTTGGTAACCCTAAATTTGGCTTAATAAACCTTGATGATTGAGATTTGTGTCTCAGTTACTCATTTCGGTTGTTAACGATTGGAAGTGGGGAGCAGATTCTCCAAACTAAAGAAGATTGAAGAATTTCACCTTCTTTTGGGTCCAGGTGAGGGAGTGTCACCCTCACTCCTCCTCCTCTGACTGCCCACTCTGGGACTTCCTGGGATTGACTGCTCCAGACTCATGTGGATTGGGACTCACCTGCCTGCCCAGGAAAGGATCCTCTTACTCTTAGGATGAACAAGAGAGAAGCAGTAGGTATGGGGATTAGGAAATGTCTCTGTGCATGGCCCATGAAGATTCATGGTTGAAGGAGACTCTGGTCACCGAGAATGTTCTGGTTGTGTGAACATACAGGGAAGGGCAGAGGGCAATGGACCCAGCACCCAGAGCTGGGGAAAGGGCATTTTCAGGGTTGTAAACAGTGAGGTTGTAAACACTGTCTCACCTACTTTGTGCAAGTCATTTCATTCCTCCCTCCCAGCAGCCCTGGGAGTTTCCTTCCTGTGGGTTTCGTGTCCCCATTCCTTCTTTCCCCTTTCTTTTCTTCTGAGGTCAGAACCCTCCTTAGGATCCTGTCCTACTTTCTGGAAAGAAGCTACTATAGCAAGACGGGACATATCCTGTCCACTCTTTGGTCATCTTTTTCTAACCTTAGAGAGACTGAGAGAGACCTACTCTTCTGCAGAGTGATGCTGAGTGCTGACCGAGAAGAAGAAATCTAGACAAAGAGATGGCTTTCAATATAATGTGCCCCCAAACCGACTATCGCTTCCCGGTAAGATCTCCCTGTGTTCAGCACGACCAAGGTCCAAACATTTTGGTTAAAGAGATGTGGAAAGAGAGTTTTGAGCCTTGTTCTTAGATCACAGTGGTGTGTGTTATGGTGTGTGTGTGGGTACCTGTGTTTACAACTGCCTGGACACCTGTGTGTGCATAGCAGGACAGAGAGATCAGGGAAAATGGCAGCATTGCTGAGCGGTGATATGTCCCTATTGACAGGACATGGGATTTTCAAGCATGTGTGTGGGTATTTGGTAAGGAGTTCAGAGAGCAGAGAGGTGGAGCCAAAATAAAAAGCATAGCAAAAGATAGTGTTCAGGAGCGGAGGACGCGATGCCAGAGAACCTATAGGCTTAGCTGCCACGGTAACCCTCGTGTACTTAAGTCCTCCTGTGTGAACAGGAATTAGACTCTCATTTCACCCCAGATTGTGTGTGTCTGTCCTCTGCAAAGCCATGTGGCTCTACCTGGCGGCTCTCACAGGCCTGTTCTATATTGTGCGCTGGTACCGGGAGAGGCAGGTGGTGAGCCACCTCCCAGACAAGTATGTGTTCATCACAGGCTGTGACTCAGGCTTTGGGAACCTGCTAGCCAGACAGCTGGATGCGCGAGGCTTGAGGGTGCTGGCTGCGTGTCTGACGGAGAAGGGGGCCAAGCAGCTGAGGGGCCAGACGTCAAACAGGTTGGAGACGGTGACCCTGGATGTCACCAAGACAGACAGCGTCACTTCAGCAGCCCAGTGGGTGAAGGAGCACGTGGGGGACAGAGGTACCACCCAGGTTTCTCAAGTATGTCTGTTCTTCCTTTGGTGTGAAGAGGAAGCCTCCTGTCTGCTCTCTGGGAAGATTCCTAGAGTGTTTGGGTTAAAGTTACACTGCTGTACAGTAATTCTCAGTGACCAGGCCAGTCTGAGCCCCTTCGCTTTCTATTTTCAAGTCCCTCTTTACCTTGGAGAGGTCTAGTTTTGGAAAGCGTGTGCACTGCTGAGAATTTGCCCTCTAGAATTCCTCTCTGTCATCTCACCTTGTTTGAAGTCCTGGGTCGCTTGATGTTGAGGCCCTGGGTTGGAGAAGTGGAGACTCTCTGGAGAGGGTGGAGTTCGGGGCTGTGTGCTGGTGGTGTGCATAATTGGGTGGGTCAGAGCTGGAACCAGGCCCATGCTCTTAGGAGTTCAGCTTGTTCCTGCGAGAGCCATCAATGTCCACCCAGAGCTAAGACCATCCTCATTTCTAAAGGAGGACACAAATTTAAGGACTGGTTTAGGAAGGCACAATTTGTAAGAGGTTACCTTTTCTTTCTTTTTTAAAATTATACTTGTTTTCCTTTCTTATTATGAGAGAAAAGAAAATTGATTTATTTTATCTAAGAATAAATGCAGAGCATGATCACTATGGAAAATATTGAAAAATGTAAAGTTAAAAACTCAGTTCACCCTGAAATAGCTATCCACACATAAATACTTTGTACTTTTTACTCAATTGGGAATTTACTAAATTTATGGTTTGCATTATGTTCTATCCTCTCAGAGAAGATGAACATTTTCCCAACATAATGAAAAATTTGAAGCTGTATTATTTAATGATTTAGAATAATCTTTCATTGATATAGCATTATTTATTTAAACCATACTGAGTGACTGCATTTTGGAATTTTTTCCTACTTTTCATTGTCATTAATGCCATTTGAGTCTCCTTTTATTTACTTGCACCCCTTTAAAGGTGAATATTGATTGGACTCTTAGAAAAAGGATATTTTGTTGGTGGAATGTCATTTTCTATAAAGGCAGGTGAAGTGTCTGAGCAGGGAAGGACTGGTTTCCCTTGGCCAGTTCTTTCAGACCAACAGTCCTCTCCTGCCCTAACTCAAGGGATGATCTTTTCTGGCTCACTGAGGTCTGGAGCTTGAAATGTCTGTGACCTCTAAGCCTTGAAATCGTGTATTTGCATCTTCCAGAGAGATTCTCCCAGAGCTGAGTGAAAGGGAAGGCTGGAGGTTGGCCTTCTGTTGGGGTGGGAGGACAGGGGGACATTTTCTGGCTCACAGGGTAGAGTCTGTGTCCTAGTGGTTGAGGTGCAGTGGCCTTGCCTCCCCCACAAAGCCTGTGCACTGGCATTCCCAAGAGCTTTCTGTAGAAATGCTGTTCATATTGAAGGAGATGTCTCCAGGCCAGTTCCTGAGGTCAAATACAGGACAATTCTCCACCTTTTCCCAAACCTGGGACTTCAGGACTGTTTCCCAAGAGAACTCTACTCAGATATTGACCTTGTCTTTTCTATTCTTATGTCTTTTTCTCTTCCTGTCTTTCATCACTTCCTCATTTTCTTCTCTCCTGTCTGTCTTATTCCATTAACTGATAGTTACTGAATACTCACTATATAGGGTGTCCAGGAAAATCTGAAAATGTAGGTGAACGTAGCATCTGCAAGGACAACGTTAATGTGTAAATCACAAACATTGGTCTCCATATTTCCAGAGTTGCAACAGCACAATATTTCTTCAACCTGAGTCCCTGCAGCCCTCAAATATGAGGTGAAATGCCTGTTGTCCACCAGGCTGTGGGCTGGGCTCCAAGGAATCCAAGGACTGAGGTTTGGGTTCTGTCCTCCACATGCTGCAGGGTGTGCAGCTCCCAACCCTGCAAACCCCATGTCGTCTTTGTTCTACCTCTTCCCCATTCCACACCTATCACGAAGCCCTTACTCTCCTGGGGTGTGAACTTGCGCCCTAATGTGTCCATACTGCATTGACACAATACAGTGTTGCTCTCTCCTCTTCCCACTATCCAGGACTCTGGGGCCTGGTGAATAATGCTGGCGTCTCCATGCCCATTGCACCCAATGAATGGCTGACGAAAGAGGACTTTGCGACCGTCTTGGACGTGAACCTGTTGGGGCTGATCGATGTGACTCTGAACCTGCTGCCCTTAGTAAGGAAGGCGAGGGGCCGTGTGGTCAACGTCTCCAGCATCATGGGCCGGGTGTCACTTTGTGGTGGGGGCTACAGCATCTCCAAGTATGGCGTGGAGGCCTTCTCGGACTCCCTCAGGTACTGAACTGGAATAGGGTCCGCCCTGAGTCCTTCTGCCCTTGTTCATCAGGAAAGTCTTGTTCAGGGGCTTTATGTAATCACAATTTTTGAAGAACCTTTTCAAGATTCTTTGCTGACTTGACTTGTGACCCTTCTTTTTCCTCTTTCTGGATTTGGCTGGCCATTCCTGGCCATTTATGTGAGTCTCAGGTCACAGAGTTTAGCTAATTTTTCCTCTGTCCTGGAAGAGACCTTCAGTCAGAAACTTTCTTTAGTAGATTGGACCTGGTTAGTTTTGCTCCAGAGTCGACCAAGTAGAACACAATCCCAGAGCTGGAACACCATGTACTGAGTATTTTCTAGGGGCAGACACTTCTTACCAATGCATCTTGGTGTCAGACTCACATAGGAAACATTGCAGTCAGTGATTGATAAACAAGGCTTTCATCACATCAAGAAGAATCAGAGCAAGATCAGCTACAACAGCATGCCTTGATTCCAAAGGGCAGAGAGTGTCTCTCTGCAGCTGTGACCTAGCCTTGGCTTGGCCAGTCCTCTCTCTTGCTGTGTAGATGAGCCTCCTGACCCCTCTGTCCTGGAATCAGAGGACTAATAGTTGGCACATGCCTTAAGGCCATGGACACACACATGCGGAGGCAGAACCCAGGGAAACTCACTGTGTCTGAGCCAGGAAAGACATTCTCACAAAAGATGAGCCCTACCAGCCTTGTGGGCTCCCCTTTTCTAGGGAAGGAGTGTTCCCAGCCCCGGGCCCATCCTTATATGGCCGAGCAAGCTTCAAAGGACGGCATGCAGGGACCACCTTTCCCAGCAGAGCCCATGTCCAAAGCTATCGTGACATACAGTTGCAGGGACCCCTTGTGGGATTGGGTAGAGCATCTACTTAATACCACACATGCTTTTAGATACTTGTCTGAGTGCCAAAGAAATGTGACCAAGTACAAGAAGGTTTTGTCCCTGACCTAAAAATAGTGCAATTGAGAGAGGGACAAAGAGATCTAGAATTTTTGTCACGAATCTTTATAGGTAACAAGCCAGCCATGGAGGCCATGGTAGCCACTTGGGGAGGGGCCTAGAGATGGGGTGTGAGCTGAGGAGTGATGAACTCCACTTGGCAGCCTGGTGAGGAAGGTGGGAAGGGCTCCTGGATGAGGGAGTGGCATCAGCACAGGCCCAAGGAGAGTGTGAGCCGACTGCCTGTGCGATGGGGTCCTCCTGGGGTAATGGTCAAGGCCAAGCCTGGATGGGGAGGCAGGGCAGGGGGCACAAGTGGACTCATGGAGGGTCTGTGGCCCCAAATGCCCTCTGTAGTCCTGGCAGTGGAACCCCATGGAAGGGATTTGCCTAGAGTAGCCACTTGGTCTCACAGGCATCTAGATTCCCACTGACTGCAGGGAACAGCATGGCTGTGAGTGTAGGGAACTCAGACTAGGGCACAAGGTGTGCCTCAGAGGACAGTTGCAACTGCCCAGCTCAGAGATGATGGGGGAGTTTCCTAGGATGAAAGAGGGAGGGAGGGGACTGGTGGGCATAGAGGAGGTGAAATAGGTGAGTTCTGGTGATGCATTGGATGTGAGATGGCACTGAAGTGGCACCTTGCTGCAGAATCCATAGGTGTTGGAGCTAGTGAGTTCAGGTATAGAAAACATGTCAACCCTAGAGAAAGTGAATGCCACTATCAAAATGTTTATTTACATCCTGACTCAGTACATTAAATATCCCAAGTGTTCTAGCTTATGTCACTGTAATCATATAGTATGGTATATCATTTTATTATTTTTGTTTGTGTGTTGCCTTCCAAGACCTCAGAAGTTTGCCCTCTGTCTCTGTGTCTTGCAGAAGGGAGCTGTCCTACTTTGGGGTGAAGGTTTCCATGATCGAGCCTGGTTACTTCAAGACTGGTATGACCAGTGTTCAGAGACTCATAAAGAATCTCCAGGAGATATGGAACCGTGCCAAGCCAGAGATCAAGCAGATCTATGGAGAAAAGTTTTTTGCATTCTGTGAGTGCGTTGTGGACAGTGAGGAGGGAAGCAAACCCTTGTCTGCCATTCTTAGCCGACCATTACTACCTCCAGCAACATAGGAGTTTGTCCTCCAGGCTCTGGCTTCCCCATACAGTCAGGGTATTTAGCCCCACTCTCATGATGGGTGCTGGGTAGTCAATTGGTCACACCCAGCAAGTGCCCAGCTTATTGGAACTTGGGACCAGTGTCTCTCTGAACCCTTCATTATCTTGAGGAGCAAAGTGAAGCCAGCCTTGTGGCCTCAGGGAAGCTGGCACTAGAGACAACTGGTTTGCATGTGCTTAGATTTCGAGTGTGGGAAGAGACCTTCCATTTGTGCAGTCCTGATATCACAGGAAGAGAGTCAGAGGTGGGTTAGTATGGTACAGTTGTTCCTTGGGAAGGTGGGGGCTCTCATCAGGAAATTTGGGTGAATTTGGTTTTGGGGCATTAATTTTGTGCAGGAGGGCACGAGTTCTTAGAAACTTTCCAGTTTAGTTGACCCCTAACCAGGACCATTTGCAGGGGGAAGTAGACATGGGTCATTTCTCATTCTGAGCAGACATGAAAGCAACTGAATTAATGGAGCCACAGTACTGGCAGGATCTGCCCTTGGTGACGGACTGCATGGAGCATGCGCTGATTGCCTGCCACCCCCGCACGCGCTACTCCCCTGGCTGGGATGCCAAGCTTCTCTACCTTCCCATGAGTTACATGCCCACCTTCCTGGTAGATGCTTTGTTCTACTTAGGCAGTCCAAGGCCAGCAAAGGCCCTGTGAAGCCAAGATTGTGGTGCATGGTGAGTGATGTTGGGTGCTGTGTAAGGGGTGATGTATCATAGGGAAAGAAATGGGGTGAAAGGAGCTCTCATATCAGCAGGGCACCTATCCTCTGTCTTTTTCATCCCCTCCACAGTACTGTGCTGGGAGACTACTCAAGACTCTGGCAATCGCAGGTGGAATGAACCAAGGCATTCTGCTGAAGACTGGAGACCCAGTAGCCTTCACTGGTGCCCTGTTTCCTTGGGCAACCACTCAAGGCTTTGGGTCTTTCAACCAATTCTGAGGATTGTGTGAGCAGGTGGAAGGAGCCTCCATCTACCTCGTCTCTTCTTCCTGCTTAAAACACAAAATCAGTTTTCCTGTTGGGCATGTGAATGTTTAAGACACAAAGATGACCAGAAAGGGCCCTCAAAGAGCTTGGAGTCCCAAGACACTCCAGGGCCAGCCCCCTCCAGGTCAATCCATGTTGTCCCTCCAAGCAATCCAAGAGCTTCATATTCACTCTGAAGCCTCCACACTTGTCTTTCACTCTCTCGACATACATTTGCAAGTGTGTGGGCACAAGTAGAGACACACAAACGTACAGCAGACCACGTGCTAAGAAGAAACTAAGTTGGCCTAACAGATCGATGACTTAAAGTGCATCCGTCTGGGGTAGGTGTTCGTGAGGACTGAATCACCTCAGGGGCCCTCTCCTGAGTGTGAGACAGCTGGGACGGTACAAAGCCCAGACCCTCCATGCTGGGCCCACGTGCAGTGTGGCACTGTGCCAATGCTGGACCTACCCTCCTCATCATGGCCTGTGATCAAGGTGGACAATTTGTTGCCAACAGAGAATAATGATAACCATAAAATAAATAAATAAATAAACTCCCACAGAGCCCATGGAAGTCACAGAAGCTGCCTCCACTCCTTGTCTTCTCTGTCCTGGTCCTCTTGAAGAGTACAGGGCCAGTGAGTCCTAACCTCAAGTCTCTTCCCCTCCAAATCCTGATTTCCAATGCCTGCAGAGCGTGGGTGGCCCTTCCTTTCTGGTACCTCACTCCAGGGTTAGTAGGGACTGCATGCCTGTGGTACTAGAAACCAGTTGCACGATGAACCTCACTTCCTGTCTTTTTTTGCTCCGAGTGTCCTTTCCTACACCTGCCCATCTTCAGAAGACCCATACTGGATGGAAAAGGGGCCATAGGTGGGGTCATCAGGACGCTGGAAAGAGTGGTTTCCCGGTATCTGAGCTGGGCTCCCCTGGTTCACTGGTCCCAACAGGCTTCCTCCCAGACAGCAGGACGAGCACCACTGGGTAGCACACATTCACCAGCATGCACAGGAGCTCAGGAGAGTAGCCCTGGAGCCTGGCCAAGCTCTCCCCCCCGCCCCCCAGGGGGACTGCAAGGGTTTATCACTGTCGGGGCATCATGTGCAGGAGTCTCACTTGAAGGTGTAAAGGAAAACAACAACAACAACAATCTCAGGACCCACCAATCTTTTAAGTGTCAAAGCAGGAGTTACTGAGAGGACAGGAAAGCCCCCACAGCGAGAGGGGACCCGAGGGGATTGCCCAGGACCCCCAATCTTAAACCCAGAGGATGAGTCAAGCAACACCCTCTTGCAAATGAACACATGTGTAACAGCCGGATCCCAGGGAAAGGGAAAGGGAAAGGCTCCCAGGCACCTACACAGGGTTGCCTACAGACCACTCATAAGCCAATCAATTGTTTCTGGTCTCTCACAAACATGGACATGTCAGTTGTATCTTTAGGTCTCCAACCTAGCTGACTTTTAAATTTCAAATCTGTTAGATTCCACACTGATAATATTGACCAGAAGCTTATTTCCCCAGCTGTAGCACGAAGACAGGACCTATTCCTTCACCTGCCCAGGGACATCTGCGGGAATGCTTCTTCCTTTACTCCCTTGTTCTCGTCAAACATTCCCCGTACTCTATTGAAAATGTAGGTTTGGCCTGGCTTGGTGGCTCAACCTGTAATCCCAGCACCTTGAGAGGCCAACGTGAGTGAATTGCCTGAGCCCGAGGGCTCGAGATCAGCCCGGGCAACTTGGCAAGTCGTCATCTCTACAATAAATAAAAAATTAGCTGGATGTGGTAGTGTGTGCCTGTAGTTCTGGGTACTTGCAAGGCTGAGGCGGAAGGATCACCTGAGACCAGCAGGTTAACACTGAGGAGGCTGTGGAGGTGTGTGCCACTGCACTCCAGCCTGGGTGACAGAGTAAGACTTCAACTCAAAAAAATAAAATAAAATGAATAAAATAAAATAAAATGTAGGTTTGCTGGGCACTAACGAAGTTCTCACAGGAATGTAACTTTCAGCCTTACTGCCCACCTGCTTTCCCCCACTTTCAGGAAACTTATAAATATTAAACCCCCTAAAACCTCTAAAGAAAACAACCAAGATATGACTGCAGCTCTTTTCTTTTCTGTTTCTTTTTTGAGTTGGAGTCTCACTCTGTTACCCAGGTGAAGTTCAGTGGCATGCTCCCAGCCATTTCAGTATAGTCCTGCTGGGCTCTGGCAATCCTTCCGCCTCAACCTTCCAAGTAGCCTGAACTACAGGCGCGAGCTACCATATCCGGCTAATTTTTTTATTTATTGTAGAGACGAGGTCTCACCACATTGTCTGGGCTGGTCTCAAACCCATGGGCTCAAGCAATCTACTCGCCTCGGCCTCCCAACATGCTGGAATTACAGGCAGAGCCAACGTGCCTGACCTGCGGCTCATTTGCATCTCAGACATAAACTTGAGATTTAGCAGGGAACTTTCTTAGGGGCCTACTCATCACTGCTTCGGCAAACAAAGGAACATTTCACAGAAAATTCTAGGCATCTAGCTAGTCCTGAGAAGCAAATGAGCAACTTGAGGAGCAAGGAGGGAATAATAACTTAAAACAACAGCCAAGGAAGTTATAGATCCTTGTAGACATGAAAGTTAACATCTTAACATATGTCCCTGGGATTGTTTTTCAGAAATCCGGACCTCCACCAAAGAGATCCTCCCCATGTAGACCTTAGGTGAGGGGCAGGGAAAGTTGGATTCAAACCACTGTTCTTGGTTCTCAGTTTCTTCCTGCAGGGCCTGGAGGAGGTCACGCCCATGAGCCAGACGTAACATTATTTTCTGCTCATCCCAAATTCTTGGACAAAGCTTTGTCTTCTTAACCAAGTACAAATCAGAACTCCTTTGTATCCACCGATGACCTGTGAGCCCCCTCCTTGAGATGGCCCCCTTAGGTAGACCAAAGTATACCCTCCATGGATTGATGTATGACTTTGCCTCTAACCTCTGTCTCCCCACCTGCAAAAACCTTTACCTGGGAGCCATTGGGAATTAACCCTAAATAGTCAATTCTCCTTGCTTGGCAACCTGCAGTAAGTACCTCACTTCCTCTCCCTGCCACCCCAAATCAGTTTCGCTTTGTGTTGCCAAGAGGACAGACCACAGTTTGGTTTGGTAATGCTCTACAGGTGGCTTAATAAACCTTGATGATTGAGACATGCCTCAGTCCCTCATTTCAGTTGTCAAAGGATTCTGGGTGTAGCTGGGGGGGGGGGGAGGATCTCCCAGCAGAAGGAGTCCTTGAAGAATTTCATGTTTTGCCTTTGGGTCCAGATAAGGGAGTGTCACCCTGACTCCTCCTCCCTCTGGTTGCCTTCTCTGGGTCTTCCTGGAATTCATTGCTACAGACACTGGAGTGAACTGGAGTGGACTGGGAAGCACCTGCCTGCCCAGGAAAGGGCCCTCTCAGGATGAACAAGAGAGAAGAAGTAGGTGTGGGGATTGGGAAGTATCTCTGCACGTGACCCTTGAAGATTCTTGGTTGAAGGAGATGCTGATCACTGAGAAGGTTCTGGATGTGTGAGGGCAGAGGGCAATGGACCCAGCACCCAGGCTGGGGAAAGGACATCTTCAGGAGGTGAAAGGGTGAGCACTGTTTTCTGCTTTCTGTGAGTCAAACCATGCTTACTTCTCAGCAGCTCTGGGAGTTTCCGTCCTGTGGGTTCCCAACCCCCTTCCCTTCTTTTTCCTTTCTTTGTCTCTGAGCTCAGACTCCCCGTTTGGGATCTTGTCCTTCTTTCTGCCCCAGGAAACTACTATAGCAGAAAGGGACGATTCCTGTCCACTGTTTTGCTTCTTGTTCTTCCTCTAGAGGGACTGACAGTGACCAATTTTCTGCAGCTTGATACTGGGTACTGAGCTAGATGAGAAAACCTAGGCTCAGAGAGAGATGTCAATCTAATGTGTCTTGAAACCAAGTGTAGCTTCCCAGTATACTCCTTCTCTGTTCAGGAGACCTAGGTCCAGGAGCGTTGCCATCGGAGATATGGAGGGACAATTTCGACCCTTATACTTAGATCAGAGTCGTGTGTGTTATGGTGTGTGTATGTGTGTGGAGGAGAGGACCTGTTGGACGCCTGTGTGTGCACAGCAAGGCAAAGAAACCAGGAGACAAGGAAAGCATTGCTGAAGGGTGATATGTTCCTACTCGGCAGAACATGGAATTTTCAAGGTGATGTATGAATACTTACATAATCGGTTCAAAGAGGAGAGAGGAGGAGCAAGAATAAAAAGCCTCTTTGCAGAAAGACAGTGATCAGGAAGGAAGTGAGGACTCCATGCTAGAGAACCTGGAGGCTTAATGGCCATTGTAGCCCTTTGTGTACTTAAATTCTTCTATCTGAACAGGGATCAGACTCTGGTATCCCAGTCTGAGTGTGTCGGTCCTCGGCAAAGCCATGTGGCTCTACCTGGCGACCCTCGTGGGCCTGTTCTACCTTGTGCGCTGGTACTGGGAGAGGCAAATGGTGAGCCACCTTGCAAACAAGTATCTGTTCACCACGGCTGTGACTCGGGTTTTGGGAACCTACTGGCCAGACAGCTGGGCACGTGAGGCTTGAGGGTGCTGGCTGTATGTCTGACGGAGAAGGGGGTAAAATGGCTGAGGGACTAGACATCAGGCAGTCTGTGGACAGTGATCCTGGA